TGGAGGGAGGAGTGGCAGAGTGGAGGGCAGAGAGGAGGGTGTAAAGATGCAAAGTTGGGTATGTCTTCCAATTGTTAACAGTACGTCAAATTTCCATTTGCTGTCAACAAAAAGAAATTGAAATTTACACCAATTCTCTGATTACTCAATAAAAGTTATTAAATAATAAAATAATTATTTCAATAAAAAATTCTGAAAAGCAACTATGGTTACTATAGAAAATTACATTCCTCCACCTTGTTTTAGTATTGATCTCCAGCACGTACTATGGTAGTCTAAGATTACTGTAATTTGTACGACAAAATTTAATTCAGAACATGAACTTATGACACATAGGAAAGTGCAAAGTGCATTCCAATGTCTAGATGGAGAAAGGATAGTGAGTCACTAGTAATGTGACTGAGGATTGTTGCACCTACCAGCACACGCTTCCATCAAATTCTTCAAGGGTCCTTTGGTGTACAGTAACCCAACAAGTATACCAGAGAGGTGGCCAACAAAAGATGTTCTAGAATAAAATAAAATTGTTAAGCGCCTGCTTAAAAGAAACAGATTGAACACTGAATGCACAGTTAAAATTCTGGCAATTTCAAATACGAGCTTTGTTTTCTAAAATTACATTAATGGTGAAATTTAGGAAGATATAGATCTATCAATCACTGCTTAAAATGAATAGAAAGGTAATCCTGAAAATTCCAATTTAATCAAAACAAAATGTTTGCTTTCTTTGACAGCAATTCCTTAAACGAATTGCAACTACACTGGCCTATCTGTAATACAGACCGACAGCTGCCATAAAATCTCACAACACATAACATTTGGAAACTAAAATGTTTTCTTGAACTATTGATCTACATAACAGGTCATCTCCTCAACAGTGAAATGACAAAAATCACTTCATTACCTCCTTATTATGAAACCATAGAGCACAACAAACTTAATATACTCCCAAAATGCTGGAATCTTCGACACCACAATTTATTCAATTACAGATAATGACTGGATACAAAAGCAGGGGTAAATGTAGACCAATGCATTTATGCCAGGAATGGGGAGCGAATTATTGATTGAAATAGCACTTTTCTTTTGCTAAATTCAGAACACAGCATTAACAATGCTGAGAAAAGACACATTTTATCAAAGGTTTACACACTTCACTCATCAGGATATTTGCAAGAAAACCAAAGTAAAACTGAACAACATTTTTATATCAAATCAGAACATCATGCTGATTCGTTGGCATGGATTGGTAGGGGCATTGCCATGGAAAATGCACCAGTTGAATGCTGACTGACAGTTATCTAAAGGCCAAGCTCTGTTTAAATTAAACCAGACATGTTGACTCTGATAAGTTAAGGCATTGCCATGAAGTATAAATCAAAGAATGCCTGTCACTTACTTTGTTATGCTTAGACAGGCACAATGTAGACAATCTTAAATTGATGATAACAAGGTGTAGAGAGCTGAATGAACACAGCAGGCCAAGCAGCATCAGAGGGGCAGGAAAACTGATGTTTCAGGTCGAGACCCTTCATCAGAAATAGGGGAGGGGAAGGGGGTTCTGAAATAAATAGGGAAAGAGGAGGAGGCGGATAGAAGATGGATAGAGGAGAAGATAGGTGGAGAGGAGACAGACAGGTCAAAGAGGCGGGGGTGGAGCCAGTAAAGGTGAGTGAAGGTGGGGAGTTAGGGAGGGGATAGGTTGTTCCAGGGAAGATGGACAGGTCAAGGGGGTAGGATGAGTTAGTTGGTAGGAGATGGGGTGGGTCTTGAGGTGGGAGGAGGGGATAGGTGGGAGGAAGGACAGGGGTTAAGGAGGCGGGGACAAGCTGGGCTGGTTTTGGGATGCGGTCGGGGGAGGGGAGATTTTGAAGCTTGTGAAATCCACATTGATACCATTGGGCTGCAGGGTTCCCAAGCGGAATTTGAGATGCTGTTCCTGCAGCCTTTGGGTGGCATCATTGTGGCACTGCAGGAGGCCCAGGATGGACATGTCATCCAAGGAGTGGGAGGGGGAGTTGAAATGGTTCGCGACTGGGAGGTGTAGTTTCTTGCGAACCGAGCATAGGTGTTCTGCAAAGCGGACCCCAAGCCTCCGCTTGGTTTCCCTGATGTAGGGGAGGCCACAACGGGAACAGCGGATACAGTATACCACATTAGCAGATGTGCAGGTGAACATCTGTTTAATGTGGAAGGTCTTCTTGGGGCCTGGGATGGCAGTGAGGGGGGAGGTGTAGGGGCAGGTGTAGCACTTGCCGCGGTTGCAGGGAGAAGTGCCGGGTGTGGTGGGGCTGGTGGGGAGTGTGGAGCGGACAAGGGAGTCGCGGAGAGAGTGGTCAATGTGGACTTCACAAGCTTCAAAATCTCCCCTCCCCCGACCGCATCCCAAAACCAGCCCAGCTCGTCCCCGCCTCCCTAACCTGTCCTTCCTCCCACCTAACCATTCCTCCCACCTCAAGCCCCACCCCCATCTCCTACCCACTAACCTCATCCCACCTCCTTGACCTGTCCGTCCTCCCTGGACCGACCTATCCCCTCCCTAACTCCCCACCAACATTCACCTTTACTGGCTCCAACACCGCCTCTTTGACCTGTCTGTCTCCTCTCCACCTATCTTCTCCTCTATCCATCGTCTATCCGCCTCCCCCTCTCTCCCTATTTATTTCAGAATCCCCTTCCCCTCCCCCATTTCTGAAGAAGGGTCCCGACCTGAAACGTCAGCCTTCCTGCTCCTCTCATGCTGCTTGGCCTGTTGTGTTCATCCAGCTCTACACCTTGTTATCTCAGATTCTCCAGCATTGGCAGTTCCTACTATCTCTGTAACAATCTTAAATTGATTATTGGCATAATTCCCTGCACACTCAGGATTATTTCACAGATGCTGTCCAAACACAAAATCACATCTAATGCTGGACACTGCTTTGAGTTTTTCAAACAATGATTGGTGGGTTACTGTCAGTTCCTTATCCTGAACAGACGAAGGGATATTTTATTTAATATGACCAGCCCATCTTCGAGATGTACACAGGCTGCATATGTAGTATCACAACAGCACTGTAATTCATCTAGTACTGTTTTCATTTATGTGATAGGCAGAACATTTTTTTTGGCTGAACAGCATCAGTGGCAAGCACCATTTGTGTTGCAACTGCGTAGTAACAGCATGAGAAAAGTCACCTCACCTCTTCCTACAATTTATCAAAATACAAAGAGGGGGGATACCCATTCAGAATCTCAGAATTGTTATGGTCCAAAAGGCAGCCATTCAGCCTGTTGTGTCTTCACCAGCTCATTAAATGGGTATCGATACTTAAGTGTCAATCTCCTGTGTCTTCCCCATACTGTGCATTATTTTATCCAACTAGTTACCCATGTCTCACTTTCTCGTACGTTCCTGAAGGCAATAACTTGCCCGCTATAGAACTGAAACAAAAACTGGTGGTTTGTTAATGGCAAGTCATTGCTTAACTGGTGTATTCTACATGGCAGTGTCTCTATCAATGAGAGTTCACTTCCCATCAAATCAACATGTTTTTCCCATATGTATAAATGTTGTTCCAATTCACATTACTTTTCTTGAAAGTGCTGTGAAGAGTATAAAATGAAAAAGACTGACAAATTTGCCTCTTTATCAGCAATTCCCAAGTTCTATATTACTGAGTGACAACATTAATAGCTTCTTGACTCTCAGATCAGATTACTTGAGCAAAGCACCAGAGAGTAACCAGCACCCATGGAGCTTTTCCGAGCGTGAGAATGGTTTGCAAACAACAATGAGAAGTGGAAAGAGACCTCAGAGATGTAGGAGCAGAAGTAAGTGTTTCAGCTCTGCCATTCAATGAAATCATAGCTGATTCAATGTCTTCCAACATCACTTTCCTGCCTTTTCCGTAAAGCCCTCAATTGCCTTACTGATTAAAAATCTGTCTATTCCGGACCTGAATATACTTAATGACCCAGTCTCACAGGTCCTCTGACATAAAACAATTCTACAGATTCACAACCCTCTCAGAAGAAATTTCTCCTCACTGCTGTCTTAAATGTGCAACCCCTCATTTTGAGATGATGCCTTCTGGTCTTAGACACTCTCAAGGGAAAACAACCTTTCTGCATCAAACCCCTCAAGCCTGCTAAGGATCTTGTATGTTTAATTAAGGTCAACTCTAATTCTAGTTCTTCGAAATTCCAATGAGTACAGATGCAACCAACTCAACTTCTCCACATAAAACAGCCCCTCCATACCTGTCATCAGCGAAGTGAACTCACTCTGGATTGCTTCTAATGCCAGTGGGTCTTCCCTTTGAAAAAATGGGCCCAAAACAGTTCACATTCCAGCCATGGCACAACTAGTCAGAATAGAAATGAAAGAATAGGCAGGATAAATGAGTGGCTTGAAAGATGGTGCAGGAGGGAGGGGTTCAGATTTTTGGGACATAGGGACTGGTTCTGGGGGAGGTGGGACTATAACAAATCGGACGGTCTACACCTGGGCAGGACTGGAACCAATGTCCTAGGGGCTGCTTTTGCTAATGCTGTTGGGGAGGGTTTAAACTAATGTGACAGGGGGATGGGAACCAAATGAGGAGGCTAGTGGACAGTAAGGAGGTAGTAACTAAAGCCTGTAAGGAACTAGATAATGAAGTCAGTGTGACTAAGGGGAAGAGGAGGCAGAGAACAGATGATGAACGCAAAGGGACAGGTGGTCTGAGGTGCATTTGTTTTAATGCGAGAAGTGTAGTAGGTAAGGCAGATGAACTTAGGGCTTGGATTAGTACCTGGGAGTAGGATGTTATTGCTATTACTGAGACTTGATTGAGGGAAGGGCAAGATTGGCAACTAAATATCCCAGGATATAGATGCTTCAGGCGAGATAGAGAGGGAGGTAAAAGGGGTGGAGGAGTTGCATTACGAGTCAAAGAGGACATCACAGCTGTGCTGATGAAGGGCACTATGGAGGACTCGAGCAGTGAGGCAATATGTGCAGAGCTCAGAAATAGGAAGGGTGCGGTAACAATGTTGGGGCTGTACTACAGGCCTCCCAACAGCGAGTGTGAGATAGATGTGGACAGATTATGGAAAGATGTAGGAGCAACAGGGTGGTGGTGATGGGAGATTTTAATTTTCCCAACACTGACTGGGATTCACTTAGTGTTAGGGGTTTAGATGGAGCAGAATTTCTAAGGAGAATCCAGGAGGGTTTTATAGAGCAGTATGTAAATAGGACAACTTGGGAAGGGGCCATACTGGACCTGGTGTTGGGGAATGAGCCTGGCCAGGTGGTTGAAATTTCAGTAGGGGATTACTTTGGGAGTAGTGATCACAATTCCGTAAGTTTTAGAATACTGATGGACAAAGACGAGAGTGGTCCTAAAGGAAAAGTGCTGAATTGGGGGAAAGCCAACGATAGCAAAATTCGGCAGGAGCTGGGGAATGTGGATTGGGAGCAGCTGTTTGAGGGTAAATCCACATTTGATATGAGGGAGGCTTTTAAAGAGAGGTTGATTAGAGTGCAGGACAGACATGTCCCTGTGAAAATGAGGGATAGAAAGGGCAAGACGAGGGAACCATGGATGACAGGTGAAATTGTGAGACTAGCAGAGAGGAAAAAGGAAGCATACATAAGGTCCAGGCGACTGAAAACAGACGAAGCTTTGGAAGAATATCAGGAATGTAGGACCAATCTGAAACGAGGAATTAAGAGGGCTAAAAGGGGTCATGAAATATCTTTAGCAAACAGGGTTAAGGAAAATCCCAAAGCCTTTTTTTCATACACAAGGAGCAAGAGGGTAACTAGAGAAAGGGTTGGCCCACTCAAGAACAAAGGACGGAAGTTATGCAAGGAGTCAGAGAAAATGAGTGAGATTCTTAATGAGTACTTTGCGTCGGTATTCACCGAGGAGAGGGACATGACGGATGTTGAGGTTAGAGATAGATGTTTGATTACTCTAGGTCAAGTTGGCATAAGGAGGGGGAAGTGTTGGGTATTCTAAAAGCATTAGGGTGGACAAGTCCCCAGGTCCGGATGGGATCTATCCCAGGTTACTGTGGGAAGCGAGAGAGGAAATAGCTGGGGCCGTAACAGATATCTTTGCAGCATCCTTGAGCATGGGTGAGGTCCTGGAGGACTGGAGAATTGCTAATTTTGTCCCCTTGTTTAAGAAGGGTAGCAAGGATAATCCAGGTAATTACAGACCGGTGAGCCTAACGTCAGTGGTGGGGAAGCTGCTGGAGAAGATACTGAGGGATAGGATCTATTTACATTTGGAAGAAAATGGGCTTATTAGTGATAGGCAGCATGGCTTTGTGCAGGAAAGGTCATGTCTTACCAACTTGATAGAATTCTTTGAGGAAGTGACAAAGTTGATAGATGAGGGAAGGGCTGTAGATGTCATATACATGGACTTCAGTAAGGTGTTTGATAAGGTTCCCCATGGTAGGCTGATGGAGAAAGTGAAGTCGCATGGGGTCCAGGGTGTACTAGCTCGATGGATAGAGAACTGGCTGGGCAACAGGAGACAGAGTGTTGTAGTGGAAGGAAGTTTCTCAAAATGGAGAACTGTGACCAGTGGTATTCCACAGGGATCCATGTTGGGACCACTGTTGTTTGTGATATACATAAATGATCTGGAGGAAGGTATAGATGGTCTGATTAGCAAGTTTGCAGATGACACTAAGATTGGTGGAGTGGCAGATAGTGAAGGGGACTGTCGGAGAATGCAGCAGAATATAGATAGATTGGAGAGTTGGGAGGAGAAATGGCAGATGGATTTCAATCCAGGCAAATGCGACGTGATGCATTTTGGAAGATCCAATTCAAGAGCGAACTATACAGTAAATGGAAAAGCCCTGGGGAAAATTGATGCACAGAGAGATCTGGGTGTTCAGGTCCATTGCACCCTGAAGGTGGCAACGCAGGTGGATAGAGTGGTCAAGAAGGCATACGGCATGCTTTCATTCATCGGACGGGGTACTGAGTACAAGAGTTGGCAGGTCATGTTACAGTTGTATAGGACTTTGGTTCGACCACATTTGGAATACTGTGTACAGTTCTCGTCGCCACATTACCAAAAGGATGTGGATGCTTTGGAGAGGGTGCAGAGGAGGTTCACCAGGATATTGCCTGGTACGGAGGGCGCTAGCTATGAAGAGAGGTTGAGTAGATTAGGATTATTTACATTAGAAAGACAATGGTTGAGGGGGGACCTGATTGAGGTCTACAAAATCATGAGAGGTATAGACAGGGTGGATAGTAAGAAGCTTTTTCCCTGAGTGGGGGACTCAATTACTGGGGGTCACGATTTCAAGGTGAGAGGGGAAAAGTTTAAGGGAGATATGTGTGGAAAGTTCTTTACGCAGAGGGTGGTGGGTACTTGGAACGCATTGCCAGCAGAGGTGGTAGAGGCAGGCATGATAGCGTCACTTAAGATAGATACATGAATGGGCAGGGAGCAGAGGGATACAGATCCTTGGAAAATAGGTGACAGGTTTAGATAGAGGATCTGGATCGGCACAGGCTTGGAGGGCCGAAGGGCCTGTTCCTGTGCTGTAATTTTCTTTGTTCTTTAGTGCCTTGTATCATTTTAGTGAAACTTCCCCACTTCTTTAGTCCATTCCCTTTGAAACAAAGGCCAACATTTTATTTGCCTTCCCTATTACTCGCTGATCTTGGATTTTAGCTTTTTGTAATTCATGAGGACTCCCAAATCCCTCTGTATTCTCTTTTACTCTGCCTGCCAGTTTTTTGTTTACTTGCTTAATCTGTCTATATCCCTCTGCAGACTATCACTCTCACCACTTGCCTTCTCGCCTATTTCGGTCATCTGCAAACTTGGCTATAGACTTTCCTCATTGAAGTCATTATATTGTAGATAACTGTGGTCCCAGCACCGAACCTTGTGGCATTCTAGTTACACATTGCTCCCTTGAAAATGCCCCACTTATTCCACTGTCTTCAATTACGAAAACAGAAACTGCTGGAAAATTCAGCAGATCTGGCAATATCAGTGGGAAGATAGCAGAATTAAAATTTCAAGTCCAGTGACTCTTCAGAAATCAACTGACCCACTGTTACCCGTTTATGTCTCCTTCCCTTTTTACTAAAGGTGTTAGATTGTCAGTATTGCAATCCTCTGGGTCTTTTCTCAGAATCTAGGGATTCTTGGAAGGTTACTATCAGCGCATTCACTATCTCTGTTACTAGGATGAAACCCATCAATCCACAGGGCTTACTGGTCTTTCGCCCCACTAATTTCCAAACCACTGGAGGAAAAAGTGCTAGTTATTGTATTTATTTCCTCTCCTTCTCTTGCTCCTTCATTTAGTACCTTTGGAAAGCTATTAGTGTCTTCTACTGTGAAGCCTGATACAATGTATTTATTCAACTCCTCTGCTATTTCCTGGTTCCCAACTATTATTCTATCAGGCTTGTTCTCCAAGGAGCCTAAGTTCACTTTGGCTTCTCTCTTTCTTTTTACATAAAGAAGCTCTTGCTTTCTATTTTAATACTACTTCAAGTTTATGTACAATGTTTATTTTCTCCCTTTTTATTATTTTTTGGTTATCTTTTGTTGCTTTTTGAAGAAAACAACCTTTCCCAGTCCTCTCACTTACCACTAATCTTTGCCACATTGCATATTTTTTCTTTCAATTTGATGCTACCCTTAACTTCCCTGGTTAACCATGATTGGTTTATCTGTTTCCTAGAATCCTCCTTCCCTACTGGAAGATCTTTGTTTTGGCAATGAACTATTTTCTTAAAATGCCTGGCTTTGTTTCACAACTGTCTTTGCTGCTAAACTCCTGCCCTAGTCCATTGTAGCTGGTTCTGTCCTCATTACTTTGTAAATACCTTTATTTAAGTTTAGTACGGTTGCATCTGACCCAAGTTCCTCGCTCTCAAACTGAATGATAAATTCTGTTGTATTATTGTCACTCTGCCTCAAGGATGTGTTACTGTGACACCATTTATTAAGTTTGCGTCATTGTGAGTTACCAGATCCAAAAACAGCCTGATCCTGGGTTGTACCCACAACATAATTCTGGGAAACTGTCTCAAATACAATCTATGAATTCCTCCTTATGACTGCCTGCGCCAATCTGACTATCCCAATTTACATGAAGATTATAAAGTCACCCAGAATTTGTTATATGCTCTTATCATGTCCTGATTTATTCTGACCCACCGTATAGCTATTATTAAGGAGCCTATAGACATTTGCAATAAAGGCCAAAATTTCATTTGTCCTCCTCATTACCTATTTTACTTGCACAGTACCTTTCTACAATTCATGCAGAACACACAGATCCCTCTGAGCAAAAACAGTTTGAAGTTTCTCTCAATTTTGATATAAAGGTGCCTTCTATTCTTGCAACTAAAATCAACCTTCCAAATTTTGGTCCTAACCCATCCATATCCATTTGTAAATTTCTTGTTTCTTCATTGCAACTTACTTTCCCACCTATTTTTGTAACATCTTCTGTACATTTTGTCCCCCCACCCAAGTCATTAATATAGATTCTAAATAGTTAGGGTCTAAGGACCAAACCCTGCAACACCCCCTTAGTTACAGCTTGCCAACCAGAAAAAGACAAATTTAGCCCAACACTCTGCTTTCTCTTGGTTAGCCAATCCTCTCTTCAAGCTAATATGTCACCCTAACATCAGTGTCACTTTGATAGACTGTAACACAACCATACAAACCACCTGCCGTTGCAGGTTGCCCTTCATTAGAATCCAAAAGCAACAAACAGATCAGCATCAATTTAACATTTAATGGACTTTTCTTTGTGTATCCTCTGCTCCCTAAGGCCCTCCATTATATTTTTCTTCAGAGCACCAGTGTTTTTTTAATTCTATAAACTCTGTAAATGCCTCTTTTCCTAAGCTACTGTAAATGAAACCTGAAAGAAACCAATTCTTGCAATAATAGTTACACTAAAACGTTGCTGCTAAACTATGACTGCAGAAAAATATTTAAAAAGTCAGGAACCAGAATTTTTAAAACAATTGAACAGCTATCAGTTTTCTGAGAAGAATCATTTTGGGAGTCAATGCTAGATTTGTTGAAAGTGAATTACTGTGTCACAGATTGTGTACTCACTTACCCTGGAGCAATCAAATGAATTGCAATCAGCTCGCCCCAGCATGCATACTGTTTCTGCACTGGGAAGCCCAATACATAACTGATACCTCCAGGATTGTAATGATTGTTCACAACTTTCAGAGCAAATAAAACACCTGAAACATGAAGTAAATGAACACACTTCATATAAACCATTATATTTCCTTTCAAACAAAAACACGCGCACACACGCACACACACACCTTCATTCCATTGATACCGCAAGTGCAGTGTCATTTTAAAACAATTTTCCAATTGCTAGATATTCTGCCATATATGATCTTCAGGAATACAGTCCAGATCAGTATTGATCTGCTTATATCTTGCTGAAAACATGAAAACAACACAGGAGTAACTCATTCCCTGATACGCCTCCTCTCAGTTAATAGGCCCCACGAAATGCAACTGGTCAGGCTATTTCAAATGGAGAAGTGATTGCATTATAATTTTGTAGGTAAAACTTGGAATTCTGTTTACATTAAATTCATGCGCGTAATGTGTAAAACAAAGCAATTTTATTGCAGGAACTTTAAAACAGCACCCCTTTCTCCCTAGATAACAAGGTGTAGAGCTGGATGAACACAGCAGGCCAAGCAGCATCATAGGAGCAGGAAGGCTGACGTTTCGGGCCTAG